CGTTACGCTAATATGAAGAACATATTGTGTAACATTTCGGTCGATCATCCAATCAGATTTAAAGCCCGCTATGCTGAGGCACCCCATATAATGTGAAAATCAATTAATTAAAAATTAACCAAATCGCATCAAAATTTAAAAAATGCCATTCCAATAACTTTACTTAGTGCATGAAGTTCGATTTTCTTAGTAAAAAAATCTTGTTTTTCATGCGTTATTTTGATGCGCCAAATTACCCCCTGCGCCATTATACCTCCATTTACTTTATAAACTTTGAGATTTTTTGTTGTTGGGTATGTATTTTGTAAAATGTGTGATAGTTAATTGGCTTTAATTGACGTAAATTTCAGTGATGGCTTAGCGTTAGCAATTTGATACGATTAAGCTGTTTGCAAGTAATCAAGATATTTTCGCTAAAGTTCTAAAAATTCTGGTGCAGATATTTGATAGAACTGCAGATCGTTTAAAACTTCAAACGACAATACAAATACCTAACTAAATTCGATGTTTGAATTTTATAAATCTGTAGAATTTAAATAAAAAAATTCATTGAATTTTGTTAAGTATTTATCGAGATATCTTCGTTTAAAGTTTTAATTAAAACTTTAAACGAAGATATCTCGACCGAATACCTAATTAAATTCGATGAAATTTTTTTATTTGAATTCTACAAATCAGTAGAATTCAAATAAAGATAGTTTCGTTCAATTTGTATTTGAATTTAATGGATGATTTTACTGTCACATTAAGTTACGTGATAGAAACTTTTCGGCGGCGATTATGGATGGCAAATGATTAAAACAGAATGTTTTTATATTGCTTTAAAATGATTTTTTATGGTTTAAACCATCGTTACTGATCTTAATATCATGATTAATAATACTGATATGGTTACGGTTATGATTATAAATTCGAATCTTGGACTTTTGTATCACAAACTGATATCAAGAAACATGCATATTTCGATTAAGAAATACAAATTTCACGGCGACGCGGAAGTTGATAATTTTAGCTTCATTAAATCGAGTTAAAAAAAACATAAAAATCATTGACGTTAAAATGTCATCCCTAGTGAATAATTAGCATGTGATAACACTATCACATGTTCAGAAAAGTCCTCGAAGAAATAAAAAAACATCTGTCAAATATTACGTGTATTAGATTTAGTATTTAACTATATATCGTGAAACGCAACGCACATTACTATTAAAAAGCTTTTATAATTTTTGTTTGTAAGCTTAATAAAAACAAAAGTTGCAAAAACACGACTATGTTTAATTATAAAAATCTGAAACTTATAAGTCTGGAAATTACATAATTAAAATTTTTTTTATCTATATTTCCTATTTTTATATAGAGATGTATCTTCGCGCAAGGTAAATTTTATTAGTAAAATCAGTAATCTATTAATTTTATATAATAATTGTCGCGGCTGAAGCTGGAAATGGCTGAAGCTGGAAATTTTAAATATTTTAATATGAAATTTTTAAAATTTTTGGGTATATTTTTTTTAGCTTTTTTTTTATAGTTAACTTAGGATTTAAGGATAGTTTTGATAATAAAAATGTATAAGTGGATTTTGGTAGGGTTTATATTTTTAAATCGAGATCCCTAATTTCTAGCTTCAGCCGCGACAATAATTTATCCAAAAGCTGTAATATGCTAAAACGCGACTTTTGCTTATGGAAGATATTACAATTCTATTTTACATCTCAGATGCAGGAATCAGAATTTAGATTGTAAACAGAAGCTATACGTACAATATTTCCCTAGGAGAACCAAATTTCAGGAATTTTTTAAATCCACATACCTTAGGCATTTTAATCACATCCAAAATTACCCATCGTTTTCTTGTGGGATTTCTCGCTATGTAAAATTTCCATGACATGGAAAGTTATTGTGAATTTCACTATGAATTAACTAAAGAAAAGAATTGCTTTCCGAAAGGAATTAGATTTCCTAAATTATATTTATTATTATGATGTTGCAAAATAAATTGTAACCACTAACTTTTTATGGATATCTAGTGAAATATTTTTACGTAACCAATCTTCTAAGTTAGAGTTTTTTATACACAAGACTATCCTATTATAACTAAAGTATATACAAATTACGAGTAAAGTTGAATAAAAAACAAAATAAATATAAAACAATTCAATCTTGCCTCTAAGTAGTATTCTAAAATGGGATTCAATCATCAAAACAAAAGTAAAAATCATTCATGCATGTATCTTAGAGATACGTACTCTCACAAAAGTCAATTGTGACCACAAAAATATTGGAATCAAACTTTCCTCTTTTGTTTCAACACATTAATATCATGACTTAATAATTTTTTTTCAGCCCGTAAAAAGTTATTTTCAGCTCGTGATACATCAATTTCATGACGCAAACGTTTCATCTCTCTCCGTACTGTCAAGACTTGCTTCCGAGCTTCGTCCAGATCTTTAGCCGCTTGGTCGCGTTGTTTGGTAGTAAAATCTAATTTACTTTTCAAATCGGAGATAACTTGATCTTGAGCCAAAACATGGTTCCGAAGTATTTCCGCAAGTTGCGAAGTGGTAAATTGAGGTACATTTTCCTGATCTGAATATGCAGTTGGAGAAGACTGTGATCCATTAGAGTCACGGTCTTGTAATGTATTCGCATTATTTTCATTCGCGGTGATATTATTTTCTTCCGAATCATCGGAATTTACAGTCAATGGAGTTTCAACTTGTTGAATATTACTGTCTTCCACGACGTTATTATTATTTTCTGCAGTCGAAACAGATTTTTTAGCTACACGTTCTTCTCGCAATTCAGCCGCTACGGATTCAAGCCATGTAGGGTCGAAATCATCTTCAGTTAAAATAATTTCATCGTTTGGTTGAACTAAAACAAGTGCTGATTCGGCGTATTCACCATTAGCATTTAAATCGCTATTGGTTCGTAATCTCTTTGTGGAATGTTCAGTGGCTGATGAGGTAGAGCTAAGGCTCTCTTGCGTAATATCGTAAGAAATTTCATTAGCATTACTTTCTTCATTGTCTCGCGGGTGTTTTCTTGAATTTGTTGAAGCTAAATCTGAATCTTCAGCCAAAGTTTCAACAATTTGACCAATATCGTTATCAAATGTATCATTGTTGGGAGTAATATCGACCGTTGTTCTTGTAGGAAATGAGTTATAGCTTGTTCGTTGTAAAAGTGTAGCATCTTCCGATCCATACTCAGCGTCTAGGGATCTAAAGTATTCATCTACTTCACTATCACTTGCCCAATGAAAAAAGCGGCATTGGTAATCGAAATTTTTAACGGGGCATGTCCAAAACCATTTTCCCTTATTAATCGACGTATCTGATTTTACTTGCCAAAGAGCGGCATTTTTGTAATAACCCCTACAGACCTTTGGTCTTCTTGGAGCGTGCTGGACGGAGCCGGACGAAGAAATTGATGCTACCATGGACTCGGGGACGTTATTTGCCTGACGATGTACGTCCATTTGGAAATTTTTGTTTTATGTGTTTTCAAGAAAATAATTGATCACTTATACTCAGATATAGAGTATGATTAACAACCAAAATGAAATTTGAACAGAATACAAAGAAATCGAAAGATGACAAATGTAACGTACATAGGTTAATCGTTTTTATACACGTATTTTCAAATGACTATATAAATTATATATAAAATGATACAAATATAAATTATACTATTAAATAGGCACAGTAATCCTACTGAAACGCAGCAATGCAGCAATGACGAAGGTATCGGGTGATGTGGGGCTTTTATTGACTGACTAATATAAAAAGTCCGCCGTTATTTGTTTAAATATATAAACATGTTTCTCAAGATGTCAAATGATCAAACTTTCGCCTCACACTATACTACCATTGGGACTTGGGAATTTGTTGCCTTCAATTATTTGCTTGTAAACATTCGTGCGTACATACGTACATACATGAGAATGTTGATTGACACAATTTGTTAATCTTTCGGGGAAGCATGTCTAAATTTAATCATAATATGGTAAAATTTACAACAAATAGAATGACTTTCCTAACTTGGTAAGTCGGTCAAACATTATATTGGTTTGTTGTTCGAAGCTTCGATAAATAAAGTTCCACATTCTTACTGCGTATGTATTAAATTAGATTTGTGCAATCCTCAAAAAACGCTAAGCTTTATCCGTAACTATTTCTATTAAACCCGACCACAAATCGGTAACTTCTTTATGAACTCTATGGTAAAAGACTTGATAAAACTGGTTTGTGTGAAAAGCCAAAGACGTACGTACGTAGGACGTACGTACGTCGAAATTCTAAGCCCAGATCTCAGATAAGTTTCTTTGATTATGCATCGCATGCGTGTTGCATGCATTCGAGAGTGATTATAATGTTGAAAACTATTATTCAAGCTTGAACCGACAATGTTGAGAATAATTGATTATGTGATCTGCGTATGTATTAACACTATTTAACAGATATTTGGTGCACAATTGGCGTGCGACGGCACTTTTTATTCAGAGAATGTCGCTCGGCGTTTCAGGGTTACACTTAAAATGCGTACATCGTACATACATGCTGAGATCAATTTTACATTCACATGATTTTATATTTAATTGTTTCGTCAACGGTCAAGTATCAATCGAATTTGATTGGTCACAACTCTTATTTTCTATCACTAACGCTAAGATATTTTAACATTAGCGCTACGTAGTAAATTTATGTACGTACATACATACTATTGTTATGGCGATAGCTTTATTGTGCACTCTCAGTACTTTATACTCGTTATTAACATTTCAGTTTTTTTTTATTAATTTATTGTTCAAAAAATCAACTAGACTCATTGGAGAATCTATACGTACGAGCTGAATAAAAATCGGCAGCAAATTCTCAATAACATAATCAATTTACTTATTTGGACTACTGATCATATTCGCAGTCGTGTTCCATATCAGACATCGCCGAAAGTACAGTATATTAAGGAAAAATACTTCATATGTGTCACCCACGAAATAGGTAGATCGCTATTTTTTTAAGAAAAAAACTACGTACAGTAATTGTATTTATATACATAGTATATACGTATATACTTTATAATTTCGGAATTATGTATAAATCTTATTTTACATATATAGTAGAATATTTATACGTACAAAAAAATATTAGCGCCTGGACACTTTCTAACGTCATATATTATTAAAGGCGAATGCTTTTTGTATATTTTATGTATTGGTCGATTTATACGTAGCAATGGATGTAATTACAATAGTATTCAGGGTGGCTTAGAGATAGATCAACGTATAACCCCCACGGTACTTGAAATTGACCAAGCAAATTGGTTATAAACCGGACAGGCATTATCGCCTGTGACCTTCTATTCGTTTAGATAACGGAGTTTATAATCTATTTTATTTATTCAAGATAAGCCGGATAGAGTTTAACATTGTATACAGTATATAATTTACATTTCTACGGTATACAAAGGGGCATCTTTAAATGTATCAACTTTTTATAGATGTAATATTTTAAAAAACTGATCAGTAACTTTGTAAAGTATATTACATAGTTACCAGTTAGATCTTTATTGTTATTTAATTTTTTTTAAATATCAGCAATATAATATTACAGTTATTATATTTTTACTACTATTTCTGTATATTTAAGCAACACTTATTTATTTAGCTATATATAATATTATATTAACTGTTCTTGTATATATAGCACTGTAATAGGCTTTTAAAAATTATATACTACTAAATAAACCAGTCTTTATTCTAAATTTCTTTAAATAATATATAAAAATTAAAACTAATAAAAAACTTTGTTAATTGAAGTAATATTGTAATATAGCAGTACAGGGTCTTAGTAAAGCTATATTACTTGACTTAATATATATGAAAGTTAAGAAATATATTCACAAACAAAAAAAGAATAAAACTAAAGAAAAAAATAAAAAAAGATTTTAAAATAAAATAATAAACCAAAAATAAAGAAAAGAGTTAATAACTTTAATTCTAAAACATAATTAAATATTTAAAAAAAGAGAGAAAAGGCAATAGTTCAACTCAATACTTAAAAATAAATATTTAATAAAGAAATAAGAAGCAATGGTTTAACTTTAAATACACAATAAAAACACAATATAAGCTTTATTAAACATAATAAAAAGAAGACAGATAATGGTTACATTTCTAAAAAAAATAAATTATAAATAATAAAAAATTAAAAGTAAATAAGAGCAGTTCAACTTACCTTAAAGAAAAAGACAGAGTTTTTATATTTTTTGGACTATTGGTTAATGATCCAATTAACAAACCAGTTAACAACTCAGTTAGCAACCTATTAACAACCCAGTTAATAATTCAGTTAATGATCCCAAGTTAACAATTTAAATAATATATCAAATAATATAGATTTTTTATAGAATAGATGAGCAAACTTCACTAACTCTGCAACTGATATTAAAAAATTAATGATTACTAATCATTAGTGAAGCTTATTTCTTATATTGCCCACCTATTCTATAGAATATTCAATAATATAATCAAGAATTTTATCAAAAATGAAAATCATTTCTAGAATATTTTCCTAAGTAATAATTGGTTTATAATTATGATTTTGGCTAAAGTTTGTTATACATTCATAATATCTAATTCAAATATTAACTATTTATATAAAAAGTAAAAAACTAATAGTTTTAGGATCAGTTAATAATCAATTAGAATCAATCTTTTTTGGCAAAGTAAATGAAATATGAAAATTTCTTAAAATTTTATTAAAGTTAATTTAGTTTCTATACTTCTTTATCTTTTTTCTTATATTAATATTAAAATATTTCTGTAATATTATAGAGTTTTTCATACTTTGTATATATATTTATATTATATACCATAGCTTAAAAACCTTCACTTATATAATAATTAACTTAAATTAGCTTCAAATGCAAATCTGTAATTTAGTTTTAGTTTATTTTTTTTCTTTTTTTTTAATTTTTTTCTTTAGATATAAACCTTATAGCAACAAGATTTAGATATATTTACAATTATAAAATAGTTTACTGTAATTTAATTAACTATCATTGAAGAGTATATATAAAACAGCAAAGTTATATTACTATTAATATCTCATATTAAATTAATTAAAATCAAATAATTTATATACTATTCAGTTTGTCTTAATGAGATGAACTAAATAGTATAAAATTATTTGATTTGAATTACTAGTTGGCAAGATATATTTATTCAAACTTGTGTTTGATATATATAAATAATGCTTGTAACAGGTTTTGTACTAAATAAATTAGTCTAATTTATTAATAAAGTTTGTTTATGATATAAAATTTTATATAATTTTAGATTTGGTAAAGTTTTAATAATTTTTTATAGATTTTAAAAAATAGTGCATCTGCATCATGATGCATCCCTTATCATGTAATCAACATGATCAACATATAATCATAATATGTATATTTTTTAATTTATTAAAATATAACAAAATGCACAAAATACATACTAATATAATCATTAAAAATTTTTTTATTTATATAGATTATTATGTATAACAAACATTTTAAGCATCAGTGCTCTTATAAACAATCTACTCCAGTACAACAGCTAATCTTAACCACTTAATTTATACTAAAAAACCTAAAGCTAACGAACCTAACTTTAACTCTAACTAACTATTTCGCAAATATACAATGAATTCATACAAACTTAGCCAATTCATCATGAAGCTATATGAATCCACTCAGAAAAAGCATATATATGTCCATACATATGTCTAACAAACCAAAAAAATCATACATTCTCAAAAATCATAAATATACACCTCATGGTTCCCAAGAGGTTAACATATCTATGATTAAAAGCAAAATCATATATACTGAATTCCCAAAAAATGTCCTAAAAAAAAAAAGAGCATTAGTAATACATTCAAAACCAAAAAAAACAAGAACAATAAGCGAATGAAACCATACTTCCCAAAGAAAACCCAGTGAAGACTCTCAGCATTAATAACACATTTAAAAATCATAAAAGTACATATTTGCTTAATGAACTTAGAAAAAAAAAAAACTGTTAATAACATATTAACAAGCTAAAAACAAAGCTAAGAAAAAAATTATACATCTCCAAAAATCAAAATATACATGCCACGGTTCCAAAGTATGTTAACAACATATTCATAATCAAAAGACAATACTAAAATCTCCAAAAAGGTCCTAAAAAAAAAAAAGAAGCGTTAGTAACGCATTCAAAATCAAAAAACAAGAACAATAAGCGAATAAAATTACTACACTTTCTGAAGAAGACTCATGGCATAAATAATACATTTAAAAATCAAAACAAGCACACATACATCTAATGAATCTAGAAAAAAAAAGAAAAATTAATATTATGTTAACAAGCTAAAAAGCAAAAAAAATTTATACATCCCCAGAAATTATAAACATATGCTTCACGGTTCTCAAGAATATTAACAGTGTATCCATGAT